CTTGCTCAGCTGGTAGCCTGCTTCTCCCTCTGCCTGCTGCTCCCCCTGCTTGTGCTCTCTCCCTCTGAAAAATAAATAAATAAGTAAGTAAATAAATAAAATCTTTTAAAAAAAATAATGAAAAAGGATTAACATCATTTATGACTTTCTTTAAATTTCAAATGATTTAACATCAATGGATGAATCAAAGTTACAAAATATTAGCCAAAACCATAGAACAAGTAAGACTCAGTGTTTGACAGATGACTTGGTATTTATAGAACAAAAGGAACTGTTTTTATTTAAAATTACAACTTCCTTCCAGACAGGGTGCATTTTGTTAAAGGAAGGTTCTGAGAGGTCCTTTTCCTGAGCTGAGGACCTTGATGGTTTGGGGATCAGTAAAGCCAAGCCTGGAATTTAGGTGGGAGGAGGGTTAGAGAAAATTTAACAGATTTGCCTAAGAGGTAAGAATTTGGGATTCTCGAGGTACCCAGGCAATGGGGGGCTGAGGAGTAGAGATAGGGGAGCACAAAAAGAATGAGGAGGCAGCAAAATGAGAAGTCGGGGTCTTATGAAAGCCCTGGTGGTGCAGCAGCTAAAACGATTTTAGAAACTCACTATTTCAGCTGGAACCCTAAGTTCTTCGCAAATTCTCTGTTCCAATATTAACAAGTCCCACTTGTTATTAATTTTCAGAATCTTTTTTAACAATTGCAGTTGGCTTCACCATCACATTATCAATAATTATTTGAATTTAAATATCAATTAGATGTAAGTGTTCACCACTGTTTCCTCTATGTTACATGCCTTTCACTTTCTTCACTTTAATTATGTTAATATAATTTGGCTTGACTGGACTATGTCCTTAGTTATTGTTTTCTAGAAAAGCCAAATTGGGGATATACTTTCTAAATCCTAGCTTGTATAAAACTGTTTTGGGGGGGTGCCTGGGTGGCTCAGTCAGTTAAGGATCTGCCTTCAGCTCAGGTCATGATCTCAGCGTACTGGGATCTAGGCAGAGTTGGGCTCCCTGCTCAGCGAGGAGCCTGCTTGTCCTTCTACCTCTCTGCCTGCTCATGTACGCAAGCTCTCTCTCTCTCTCATAAATAAAATCTTTTGAAACTTTTGTTTTCTTTTACCATCACATAAAGGATAATCTGGGTCACAACTTTGGTCACAATTCTTTCTCCTCAGAAAACTCCTATTGTTTACTAAGAAGTTCAACTATCAGTCTAGTTTTGTTTCCATTATATATAACTTTAATTTCCTATCTTGGTGTCCGTAGGGTTTTGTTTTTATCCTTGAAATAAAGAAATTGTACTGGCACAAGTCCAGCTGTGTGTCTTTTTTCCACAACTCTGTCTTTTGATATTGAATCTTTTTTATCTTGAGTCTTCAATAAACGTTCTCAGTAAATGTTATCTCTGTTCTTACTCCTGCTCCTGAATCACTTCCTTTCTCTCACTTTGCAGGAGCAGAACCAAGCCATAATACTGTTAGAACACCAACTTCAGATCAACCATATCTACCAAAATGCCCCTCTCCACCAGAGACCAGTCAGAATCTTGGTGGTGCCTACATGAGGACTGTACTGTCAGTTTCTGTTGTCTAGACATTGCATTATGATCCTCTAGAAAAGGAAAGAGCATCTATCTTCCACTTTGGTATCAACATTTTCCCATAAGAGTGCCAAAGCAGTACTGCTTGCGTTCAAGTGCATTAGAGGATTTTTAATGAAATAGTTTCATTAAAACAGATTTTACTTATAGTCTACTCTCCCATCCCAAGATACAGATGCAAATCCAACAGAGACAGGATATGGCATGTAGACAAATCTTACTCACAAACGCCATGCTGTACTCTGTATTTTCCCCTGGACAGTGAAAGCTCTGTCATGAGGTCAAGTTGGTGTACTTAACTTTTAGTTTTCCTAAATTCTGTCTTCTGTAGAAATTGACTTTTTGGGGTGCGTGGTGGCTCAACTGATTAAGGGTCTGACTCTTGATTTTAGCTCAGGTCTTGATTTCAGGGTTGTGAGTTCAAGCCCTTCATTGGGCTCAGTGCTGGGCATGGAGAGAGACAGGAAGAAGAAAGAAAGAAAGGAAAGAGGGAAAGAGAGAGGAAGGAAGGAAGGAGAAAAGAAAGAGGAAAAAAGGGAGAAAGAGAAAGAAGAGAGAGAGGAAGAGAAGGGGAGAAAAAGGGAGAGAAAGAAAGGAAAGAAGAAAAAGAGAAATGGAGGGAGGAAGGACGGAAGCAGGGAAGGAAAAAAGAAAAAAAGAAAGGAAAAGAAAAATTGACTTCTGACATTACGGTAGATATTTTCAAAGATGGCATGGTATCTGCCATTCCACATGCTTTTTCCCCAATATGAGTCTGTTACTGAGCTGGCCCTGTGACTGCTTTGACCAACAAAATATAGAGGAAGTTTCAAGACCAGGAATTAAAAAGGCCTGGTAGCTTCTACTGTGTGGTCTGCAGGAACCAACCAACATGTAAGAAGTCCTGAAACTACCATGCTTTGAAGAAGTTGCTAAAGAAAAAGTTATTCCGACACTTGGTTGAATGGTAAGAGGGACTTTATTCAAGACTGTTGCAATACAGATATTGCAGCAGAGGAGAGGGATCAGCTCAACTCCAAATGTAGCAAAGACAGTTGGAGATTTATAACCAAAGAACAGAATGAAGGCATCAGGAAACAGAAAATTACTCAGGGTAAATTCTTGTTGAAGACAGCCAAGGACTTAACATATGAGAGATGGGGAATGAGGAATTTGATCAGGTATTTGATCAGGGTGATCAGATAACAAGGGTAAAGGGGACATTCACCACACTTACTGTGATGGTTAATTTTCTATGGAAAATTAATTGCGCTAAAGGATGTCCAGATAGCGTTAAAACATTTCAGGATGTGTCTGTGAATGTGTTTCTTTCTTTTTTTAAAAAAAAAAAAGATTTTATTTATTTATTTGACAGAGATCACAAGTAGGCAGAGAGGCAGGCAGAGAGAGAGAGAGAGAGAGGGAAGCAGGCTCCCTGCTGAGCAGAGAACCCAATGTGGGGCTTGATCCCAGGACCCTGAGATCATGACCTGAGCCAAAGGCAGCGGCTTAACCCACTGAGCCACCCAGGCGCCCCTGTGAATGTGTTTCTGAAAGAGATTAGCATTTAATCAGAAGACTGAGTAAAGAATATCTGCCTTCACCAATATGGTCAGGCATCATCTAATCTGTTCAGAGTTCAAATAGAACCAAAAGGTGAAGGAAGGGCAAATTTTTCTCTCTTTTCTTGTACTGGGACCTCCATCTCTCTTTTCTTGTACTGGGACCTCCATCTCCTAGCCTCCAATATCTGATCTCCTGGTTCTCAGATATATTAACTCTGGGACTTAAACCATCAGCTCTCCTGGTTCTCAGGCTTTTGGACTCTGATTTATACCATCAACTTCCCTGGTTTTCCAGTTTTCAGATAGCATATCGTGGTATATCACAGCCTCCATTATGGTGTGAGTCAGTTCCTATAATAATCTCATAGATCTATATAAATCTTTTAGTTCTGCCTCTCTGGAGAACCCTAACAAATATACTTAATGTAGCAGGATTCTTGTTAAAACAGGGCTAGCAGGAAGAAGATAGAACAGGGGCTACCGCATACATTAAACCTCAGACTACGTTGTTCACGTCCCACTGTTTCCATATGTATATGTAAAATGCTGATTTTCTGAAAAGAAGTATTTGAGTTTTTATGATGAAGCTAAAGTATAAAAGCAAAATCCTAAAGCAGGCAAACTAGGTATTCTAAAGCTTGGTTTCATTTCATCCCTGTTCTGTTTTATTGGTCACTGCATGAAGCTCTTTTTACAGGAATCATGTATACTTTAAGGAAGAAGTAAGACTTAGTATTTACATCAGCACCAAACTAATCCCCTACTGCGGAACTGCAAGGATGACTGAGAGGCAGAGATTGAAGTGATGGAGAAAAGTCAGGGGTTTCCAGACGGACCAGCTGGGTATCTACCTTCATCCATCATTAGCCTGAATTGGCAAATTACCTAACTTCAATAAGACTCAAGCTTTCTGTGGGGGGTAAGAGCGGTGGAGAGATTTTTTTTTTTTTTTTTTTTCCATTTGTAATAGAAAACACTTGGGGCGCCTGGGTGGCTCAGTGTGTTAAAGCCTCTGCCTAAGGCTCAGGTCATGATCCCAGAGTTCTGGGATCAAGCCCCGCATCAGGTTCTCTGCTCAGCAGGGAGCCTGCTTCCCCACCCCCTCCTCTCTGCCTACTTGTGATCTCTGTCAAATAAATAAATAAAAATCTTAAAAAAGAAAACACTTATCTTATCTTGCCCGGTTTTATGAAAAGTGCTTTTGCTGGTGTGGAATAAGCAGCCGCTACTAAAAGAGGACTGAAGGTGTGTTCTGTTGAAGAAAGGAAATGCTGAAATAGTGCTTTGCAATTAACCTAAGGTATGCAAAAAATAATGAATTGTAGAGTAGAAGGTGTTCTTCTGAAGTTTAAAAAGGTGTATGGCCACATTTCTAACGTTTATACACCTCACTGAAACAGTGAGGTTGTTTTGCTTGTTTCACCACTATAAAAATCCGTATTTGCCAAGTTGAAAGCAATCTGTGGGGCCCAGGCGCGGATAAAGATTAAACATAAAATACATGTCCTTGCCTGCTCGGATCTGTGTAGACAGATGACTCAGTGGTACAGAGCCTTCACCTAAGGTGAGGGTAGCTAACACCATTCAATCTCAGTGTGACCCTGGAAGTGAAGGATCGTAAAAACGTTACTTCGGCGACAGCAAAAGCTCTTAAAACCCCGTTCTGACAAGATTTAAGAAGCAACTGGACGCTTTCGCGGATTCTCTCGCGAGAGGAGAGATTCTAAGGCCACGTCAGAAACTAGAGACGCTGGCGCCCAGCGACAGATGCCGGAACAATGATCGGTGAAAGCCAGGGACGCGAAGGCTGGTCGGTGGGCGGGACTTCCGCCGGAATCCGGCGTGGTCCGGAAACTCTCAGAACCGAGTTCCGGCCCGTCTTTCCCCTGGAGGCCCTCGGTGGGCGCTCTGTGGGCCTGGGTGAAGATGGCCTGTGCAGCCGCACGGTCCCCGGCCGACCAAGACAGGTGGGTCTTGAGAAAGGGTGCTGCACCGCCCTCCCCATCCCTGAGAAAGGCTGGTGGGTGGGGCTTGTCTCCGGCCCCAGGCTGCGGGCCTCTTCCCAGGTGTTGGTTCTTCCGGGACGCCAGCGGCGCCTGGCTCTTCGTAGTATCCCCGAAATTCCGACCCTGGTAGTTCAGTGTCTGCCTGCGCCGGAGACGAAGGACTTTGGGTGCTACGTGGACAGAACATTAAGTAACAGACTCACAGAGTGAGAAATGTGTTCTTTTCATTGTTACGTTCAGAAAGGCACGTTTGGGTTTTTCAAAGTCTTCTAATACCTCTGCTGGTGTGGTTTCTGTTTGAGAGCAGGCCCCAGCCTCAGGAAGTTTTTTTAAAATATTTTTATTTTATTTATTTGACAGAGATCACAAGTCTGCAGAGAGGCAGGCAGAGAGAGAGAGAGAAGGGAAGCAGGCTCCCTGCTGAGCAGAGAGCCCGATGCGGGGCTCGATCCCAGGACTGTGGGATCATGACCTGAGCCTTAGGCAGAGGCTTGAACCCACTGAGCCACCCAGGCGCCCCCGCCCCCCCCCACCCCGCCTCAGGAAGTTTTGATAGCCGGCTGTATGTTAACTGACCGGTGAAGGCATTGTTTTGGTTTGGTTTTAAACCTTCTCTAACAACTGATTTTTTTTTTCCAGCTAAGGTAGTAAACTAACATTAGCTTTTTAAGTAACGTAAGTAAAAGGGAGGCAATTTCAAGAAAAAAAATACTAAGCAAGTAATAGGCATGCTGGCAATCTTGATGATGAAAGAATGAATGAAATTTTGGAAATCCTGCTCTAGTGATACTAGCTGTGCTTCCTTCTGTGGCAGGTTCATTTGTATCTATCCTGCTTATTTAAATAACAAGAAGACCATCGCGGAGGGGAGGCGAATCCCCATAAGTAAGGTAAATGGGCTGGCACCTCTGTCCTTGAGGGGTGGGGGGAGGTTGTACTGTTACGGCTTCAAGGGCTTCTTTTACTATACCCTATTGTTTGGGGCCTGAGGTGAACAGCTTCCAGGAATTGGGGTGCTTTTCTTAACAGTGGTGAAACCAGAAAGGCACTAATACCTGGCTGGGGGAGTTATTTTAAATGGTTCTTCATGAGCTTATGCTTTAAAGAAGTTGGGTGGCGGTAGGGTTTGCATGTTGTTGTTTTTTAAGCCAAGGTTATGATACTCTTGCCCTTAATTTGTCAGGGAGAGAGTAAGCACAAGCAGGGGGAGTGTCAGAGGCAGAGGGAGAAGCAGGCTCCCCACTGAGCAGAGAGCCCAATGCAGGACTGCATCCCAGGACCCTGGGATCAAGACCAGAGCTGAAGGCAGAGGCTTTAACCCACTGAGCCACCTAGGTGCTTCTACTCTTGCCCTTAATAAAGGAAATCAAACTATGGCATTATATGATGTCCAGAATGCAGTTGAGTTATTAAACAAGACTTGAAGAAAAAAAAATTTTTTTTTTAAGATTTATTTATTTGAGAGTAAGAGGGGAGTTGGGATGGGGGGAGGGGGAAAGAGAGAATCCCAAGCACTCCCGGAATTGAGCAGCTGGATCCACCACCAAGAGTCTGACGCTTGGGCACCTGAGTGGCAGTTAAGCATCTGCCTTTGGCTCAGGTCATGATCCCAGGGTCCTGGGATCCAGTCCCACATCGGGCTCCCTGCCTCGCAGTCAGTCTGCTTCTCCCTCTGCCCCCCCCCCACCCCCCAGTGAGTAAATAAATAAAATCTTAAAAAAAAAGAAAGAGTCTAACATGTAAGACACTGAACCACCCAGGTGCCCCAGGTGTTACGGAGAATTTAGATGTGTGGAGTTTTTTAGTTTTATGTCCGTTATCTTTTTCGGGGGGGGGGTAAAGTTTAAAATTAATACTTCTAAAAAGGGTGTTAGAGTTTTAAAAAAAATGATTTCTCCCTTGTGCTGTTTGAATGGGAAACTTCAAGTTCTCAGTTGGCCTGGTGGCATGTTTGGAAAGTGCCTTAATCCCAAGTGAAGGGTCTTTGTAGCTTTTTTTTTTTTTTTTTTTAAAGATTTTATTTATTTGTTTATTTGACGGAGAGAGACAGTGAGAGGGGGAATACAAGTTAGGGAGAGGAAGAAGCAGGCTTCCCGTTGAGCAGGGAGCCTGATGCGGGGCTCGATCCCAGGACCATGGGATCATGACCTGAGCTGAAGGCAGACGCTTAACAACTGAGCCATCCAGGTGCCTCTCTTTATAACTTTTTATTTTGAAAATTGATGTCATATTCTGTTTTTTTTTTTTTAAAGAGTTATTTATATTTTGTAATCTAACAACAGATTCAGGATAACTTGGTCTGAAGCAATGCATTATTTTTGTGTTATTTAATGTCTCCCATTTTGCTGTTTAAATATGTCTAAAGGAAAGTCTGCTCTGCTGTCCCAGGTAAAAGAGACTACCAAAGCACTGATTCAGGAAAATGCCTGCCATCAAGTCACTGTGACAGAGGCCTCTGGTAGCAGCTCTCACACAATTTGGAGAATAATTGAATTGTTTTTAACTTTATTTGTGTACAACATACACACAAAAATATACATAAGTCTTAAGTGTCTATCTTGATTCACTTTTACAAACAGAATATACATGGGTAACCCAGCACCCGAATTAAAAAAAGAAGGTGTGGGCACCTGCGTGGCTCAGTGGGTTAAACCTCTGCCTTCGGCTCTGTCATGATCTCAGGGTCTTGGGATCGAGTCCCGCATCGGGCTCTCTGCTCAGCAGGGAGCCTGCTTCCTCCTCTCTCTCTGCCTGCCTCTCTGCCTACTTGTGATCAGTTTGTCAAATAAATAAATAAAATCTTAAAAAAAAGAAGGTGTGATCAGCACCCAGGAAGATTCCTTTGTCTCCTCACAGTCACTTCCCCCACCGCATATACTCATATACAAGGATAACCATATCCTGACTTCTGACGCAATATATTACTTTTGCTTGTTCTTAAGCTTTATTTAAAAGGCGTTATACACTATGTACTTTTGTATCTGTCTTTTTTTCACTGAACTTTAAGCTTAAATTTATTCACATTTTTTAGTGTAGTTTGTTAATTCTCATTGCTCTGTAGCAGGGTTTCTCAACAGCAGCACCATTGACATTTTGAGCCAGATGATTTTGAGCCAGGTAATTCTGTAATCAGGGCTGGTCTGTGCTTTTTAGTTGTTTAGCAGCATCTTTGGCCTCTACCCACGAGATGCCAGTGCCTTACCTGAATCCTCTGACAATTAGAAATGTCTCCTAGCATTGCTAAATGTCAGGGGGCAGAATTGCCTTGCTGAAAACCACTGCTGTGTAGTTTTGAATTGTATAAATAAATCACAGGCCATCGTACCATTGATGGATAATTGGTTTCTAGTTTAAGGCTATTTTACATGCTACTGCTGTCAACGTTCTTGAGTTTGTCTTCTAGGAAACATTTTTGCATTGTTCTTGGGTATGTACTTAGAAGTGGAATTGCAGAGCCAGGAAGAATGCATATGTTTAGCTTTAGTAGATACTACCAAACAATTTTGTAATTTTTGATCTGTAATAGTTGTTTAACCAGTATTCATTGAGCACCTACTATGTTCCAAGCATCATTCCAGATACTTGGGAATTTATGGATAAACAGAACAGTCCCTGCCTTTGTGAAGTGTATGTTCTGTTGGAAGGGAGATGGACACACAGGTATAAATTAGTGTTATTCCTGTACTTTTAAAAATTACAGTGGAAACAACCATACCTAGTGAAAAAGAAAATCTAAGGTTTTGATAACTGTTGTGATCCTCATATTTGAAATGATTCACACAACGGTGTAGCAGTATCTGCTTAAGGTAAGCTGTTTAGTGTTTTTGTTTTTAACTGTTCAGGCTGTTGAAAATCCTACAGCTACTGAGATTCAAGATGTGTGCTCAGCAGTTGGACTTAATGTATTCCTTGAGGTAAGAGGTGGTTCTTTCTTCACTATTTTTCCTACTCAATCTCATTGATGTGACAACTTTTTAAAGCCTGTTTTATATGTTGGGTTTTTTTTTATGTTAGAAAAATAAAATGTACTCTAGAGAGTGGAATCGTGATGTTCAGTACAGGGGCAGAGTCCGGGTCCAGCTGAAACAGGAAGACGGCAGCCTCTGTCTTGTACAGTTCCCATCACGTAAGCTTTTTTTTTTTTTTTTAAATGAACAAATAAAGTTTGGCAACAGGTCGTTCCTCTACAAAAAAAGTTCTAAAACTGACCCCTTTGAAAGGTAAAATTCATAATTTGCATGTTGCAGATGAATTTAAGAAAGGCTACTGCTGAGGAAGGGAAGAAAACAGTGGTTCTCACTTCTTTTAAGTTAAGGACCTCTAGGAATGTGGTGAAACCTAATCATTTATTTAAAAATTTTGTTTTGTGAACTTTTTATAAACCTCTGGAAATCCGTCATTATTCCCAGGTTAAGAGTGTAGAATTATTGAGTGGTCAGATGTTAATTGGCATTTCAGACCCTAGAGGCCTGTGAGGTCTGTTAATAGTTTCTATCATTAATTTAAAAGCCATACTGAGTGAAAACTGCAAAAGGAATGCATAGTGTGATACCACTTTGGTACATTTAAATACAAAATGTTACTATTTATTGGTGTATATGTAATATTGTTTATTGACATTTATGTATGTAAACTTTTTTTAATGGACTAGAGGAAAACCCCAGTCTTAAAATAGTAGGTAACCTAATGATGAACAGGGCATGGGAAGTAGGGACACAGGATTGGTGCTCACAGAAGACCAGCATTATCTCTAGTGTTTTATTTCTTAAAAAAACAACAGTAACCAATTATCAGTATTCCAAAATAATTCATTCTGGCTCTGGGGAAGTTGAATTTTTTTGTACATGATTCTTTTCTGAATTCTTTATTTCTAAAAACTATAATTTTTTAAATCGAGCTGTTATTTTTTTTTCTTGTCACAATAACCCCAAGCTGACAACTAAATGGTATTTATTTATTTGTTTGCCAGAAAGAGAGAGAGAGAGCACAAGCAGAGGGAATGGCAGGCAGAGGGAGAAGCAGGCTCCCTAAAGGAGCCCAGTGTGGAACTCTGTCGCACTACCCTAGGATCATGACCCAAGCCGGAGGCAGATGCTTAACCAACTGAGCCACCCAGGTGTCCCTAGATTGGTTTCTCTATGCTAAAACCTTTCCAGGTTGGTAGATAATTCTAGAAACAAGATTTTTACTTGGATTACAGGTAGTATATTACAGTGTATTTATTCTTCTCTTTGACATCTTCTTTTACTATCTGTTAAAAGTCAAAAGACAGGGAAGCGTGGGTGGCTTAGTGGCTAAGCATCTTCCTTCCGCCCAGGTCTTGATCCCAGGATCCTGTGATCGAGCCCTGTCTTGGGCTTCCTGTTTTGGGGGGGGGAGTCTTATTTCTCTCTCTCTCTCCCCGTGTCCTCTACCTGTGTTGGCTCTTGCTCTCTCACTCTCTCTCTCAACTAAGTAAATAAAATCTCAAAAAAAGTCAAAAGACAAAAAAAAAAAAAAAAAAAAAATCAAGAGACAAGAAACTTTTGACTTGACCAGTAAATAAAATGTAAGTAAAAATTACAGTTGAAAAATGTTGCTCCCAGGTACCAAAAAGAAAAAAGAAAGGGAAAAACTGAGGGGCTCCATGCATTGGAAGTAGCTACTAGATCTGGAGGGAGGTAATTGGTGTACAGATCAGGGTACCTGTACACATGAAATCATCTGGGCATATGAGTAACATCTTTCATACCCTGATAACATTAGGTTTTTGTTACAAGACTGTGTGGCCCTCTGTTTCTTTAGCTTAAGGTACAGTGATATCCTGACTCTCTTTCCAGATTGTTGTATTTCGACTTACTCCCCTTTGATCTTCAAGTCAGTTACTAGAACCAGGACCAAAATAGGTGTTTCAAATAAATATTTCAGTATCGTTCTTAGTACATTTTCTCCAGGAAGGCTCCCACTTGAGCAAGTCATGTCTTTATAGTCATTTATTTTTTTTAATCTTTGTCATTTTCCTGATGTGATCTCAAGTTAATGAGCTTGTATGTCTTATTCCTTAGATTATACACTAAGCCTAACTTCTTGTTCCTAGGTAAGTCAGTAATGTTGTATGTAGCAGAAATGATACCTAAACTAAAAACAAGGACACAAAAAACAGGAGGTGGTGACCAAAGTCTTCAGCAAGGAGAGGGAAGTAAAAAAGGGAAAGGAAAGAAGAAGAAGTGACCAGATTTGAGAGTCAAGTCTGTGGTGCTACTGTGAGAGATAGTGAATGAAGGCTTCTAACTTATCTTAGAGAAATGGAAGCTTTTTATTTGCATCATTTAACCGAACTGTGGACATCTCTGCCTCCCAGCTTCAGCATCAGAGTTGACAATGAAATAAATTTACATCAGAAGTTTGCATCTAGCTCTTATGCAGTTTAAAAGAAAATTTTTTTGCTTTTCAACACACAGTTTTTGTGGAAGAAAGAAGCATATTTTTAAATGGACAGTGGACTCTGCCGTAAGTTACATGAAATCCTGTATCTGCCCTGTGTGGAAACATGTTTCAGATAAATGAGTTTAAATAAAGATTTGAAATACACATTTTCTTCAGCTTTTAAGTTAATGAAATAAAATTTGAAACTGACTATTTTAGCTTTTGCTCTTTTGCTTATGAACTAAATGCTAGTAGAGGAGATAATTGAAATCAATAAAATGGGTAGTGGAGGCTTAGTGTGAGCTTAAAACTAGAAGAAAATGGTTAAATCCTCTTGGACATCTATAGATGATATTATTTCAGTTACTGTAACTGAATGTTCAATTACTAGTTTTTTGATGTATGGAAAGTCTTGGACTTTAAGCTTTAGATTCGCTTATTTTGTTGGCTTAAGAACATCATTTTAATTGGAGTTTTAAAATTACCCGTGCTTTAACACCTTGAGATGTACTTTTTTTCAAGAAACTAAACTGGATTGAAGATTCTGACTTTATTTCAAAGCACTGTTCTGAAAGTGGCAATTCTGTGTCAGATCTAAGGGAACCCCTGTCCAGCCATTTGTTTTTGCCCTTGAGCATCATTTGGGGAGCCGCCTTCTCCGACTCCATGTGCTTCTGGAAGGGCTTCTAATTACAGGACTGCCTCTTTACCACAGGGTATGACCCAAGCCAGGCCAGTGGTTTATTTCTCAGGAATTCTAATCTGGAACAGAAACACAGATATACAGATGATGGGAGCTAAGATACATAATGGGCTACAAATCTGAGTTATCCGATCCTGGTTTTTTGCGGCTGGGTTTGGCTCTTCTATGACTTCTATCAGCTGTGCTTTTATATCCTTCTAGTAAATCCCATTTTCTTTAAGTTTTTATTGCTTGAAAGAAGAAATTCCACTTCATTACAAAATAAGTGAACCCAGCATTTCAGAGTGTTAGGTGTACTTAGACACCCAAGCTGTATGAAGATGATTCATGGGTGTACAGGAAGAGGTATTAGAATCTTTACTTTTTTCTCCAATAATTTCTGTTGTTAACATGTCTTATAGTGAATGTTAACAGTATAGCAGTTTATATATTTGACTTGTAAGTAAATATTGGGGCAGTATATACAAAACAAAATTTAGAGCAAAATTTAAAACAAAAATTAACCTTCTGGGAAATTGTATCACTTAGGAATGTGTGTAACAAAACAATGAGGAACTTAAGCAGGAATTTTCTTTTTTTGAAGTAACATCAAATCCAAAATTTATTATAGGTGTAAGTTCAGCTGCTCAGTGACACCCTCTTTTATCTTTCCATTCCACTATCCATGGTTTCTAACACCCCTTGGATTGTTGTCTCAAGCTTACAAAAGGGCTGATAGACTATCAAATGTCACATCAGAGTTTAAGGTAGAATGAAGAGATAGCTGTGCCAGCCACTTCTGTCCACCCTTAAAAACAAAGCTAAAGATTTCTCAAAATTCTTCCCAGCCAACTTTCATTTAAGTCTCCTTGCTGAACACTGTGGCACATGTCCATGTTCAGCTGTATGACAGGCTAGGAAAGTGACTATATAGCTCTCTCAGTAATCAAAATAGCCAAAGAAGAAAGTTGACACTGGATATTGGGGCAGTCAGATTAAATAATTTGCCACAGAAAGATGACCAGAGTCTAAAATTACTTTGGTTATGGAGCAATAAAGATTGTTGGAAATCTTACTGTAACACTGTACTGCTGTTTCTCCACATTGCTGCAATCAATGCATAATTGAACCTTTCTTTGCCAATCAAGTAGAAAACAGAATTTTTCTAGTGAGCAAGACAGATCACTTATTGATATGTTGAAAATGCCCTTTGTATTTATCTCATTGATTTCTGTTCACATCCTTTGCCCCTTTCTAAGGATTTTATTACCATCAGTGTTACACATAATTTAAAGAGCCAGCTAGTTTTAATAGTTTGAGTTTTAGGCATTAACTTTCATCTGTAGAAGAGGATGATTTAGTTTTCCTTCTTCACCCCCAAAGTATGCTTCCCATCCTCACTTCTACCAATATATTTCTTGATTTTAATCACTATTCATAGTTTACGTTACTATCCTATATTTCATTCATAGCTGAATCATGTAGTACTTTGCTACTCAAAAGTGTGGTCCGGGGTCTAGCAGCACTGCTCTTCCCTGGGAACTTGTGAAAAATGCAGAAACTGACCCAGCCCAGAATGTTAAAGATCCCCAAGGTATTCTTCTGCACATGAAAGTGAGAAACACTGGAGTATGCTGTTGTTACTTTTGTTTTCTGGATTTGTGTGTTCTTAATATTTTTTCTTTTATTTGCTTAGGTTTTTGAATATTCATCATTAACTCAACCAGAAATTACCAGTTGTCAAAATGTCCTTTCAAAAAGTTTGTTCGGGGCAAGCATCTACTCTTAATCTCAGCTCAGGTCATGATCTCAGGGTTGTGGGATTGAGCCCCGATTTGGGCTGTGTGCTCAGCATGGAGTCTGCCTGAGATTCTCACTCTCCCTCTGCCCTTCCCTCTTGTGCCCTCCCTCTCTCTAAAATAAATCTTTAAAAGAAAAAGTTTGTTCAGGGGTGCCTGGGTGGCTCAGTCCGTTGGGCACCTGACTCTTGATCTCAGCGCAGGTCTTGAGTTCAAGCCCTGTGTTGGGCTCCACGCTGGGTGTGGAGTAAAGTAAATAAATATGTATGTTAAGTACATAAGTTCCTATCAGGTAGTTTAATTTCATCTTTCCAAAGAAGTCTCTTCGGGAGCCTTTTACCTTCTCCACTTACTACCCTTTAGGCCTAGTGCACAGCTTCACTTTGGCATCTCTTCATCATCCAGAGTGACTTGCCTCACTTTTTTGCTGTTTTGTATATCCTTATTATCGTATCCTATGCATTCTTTCTTGGGTTACTTCTTTGTTGGTAGCCCATCTTCAGGATCTTCCTGGGGAAAATGCCACTTCTGTGGGAGGATGGGAGGTAAATGTTCTTACACCATGTATGAAAGCGTCATCATTCTACCCTCACATATTCAAACCCTCACACAATTTGGCTGAGTATAGAATTAGAATTGAAAATTGTTTTATTTCAGAAGTTCAAGTATATTGTTTCATGGTCTCCTGGCTAATGTTATAGCTGTAGGGAAGTCCACACCATTGTAGTTCATGATTTTTTTTTAATTTGAGAGAGAGAGCATGAGTGGGGAGGAAGGACAGAGGGAGAAGGAGAAGCAGACTCCCTACTGAGCAGGGAGCCTGACAGTGGGGCTCTATCCAGGACCCCAGGTATCATGACCTGAGTCAAAGGCAGACGCTTAACTGACTGAGCCACCCAAGTGTCCCAGTTCATGATCTTTTGTCACCTACATTTTTCTTGTTGAAACACAGAATTCTAAAATATCACAATAGTGTGCTTTGTGTGAGAACTTTTTTGTCTATTGTGCTGGGTACCTAATGGGCCCTTTCAATTTGGAAACTTGTGTTCAAATCTGGGAATTTTCTTGAAAATTTCATCGATGGTTTTTCTACCCTTTCTGATCCTGGAACTCCTTATTCTGGATATTGGACATGCCGGACAAGTTCTCAAGTTTTCTTATCTTTTTTCCCCCTTATTTCCATTTCTTTGCCTTTATGTTCTATTTCCTAGAATTCCTTAGCACTGTCTTCCAACCCTTTTGTTGAACTTTTCATTTTTCTTGTATTTTCAACTCACACTCTCTTGTCATCTGAGTATTTCCTTTTTCTAGCGTTTTTAAAAAGATTTTTATTTTTGCATTTGAGAGAGAGACAGCACGAGGTTGGGGTGAGGGGAGCCAAGGTGGAGGGTGACACAGAGACTCTCTCAAGCCCACTCCACACACTGAGCACAGAGCCAACATGGGGCTCAATCCCACAACCCTGAGATCATGACTTGAGCTGAAACCAAGAGTCAGACTCTCAACCGACTGAGCTACCCAGGCCTGCATTCTGTTCTTAATTCATTAAGTGTCATTCTTACTTCTCAGGGGGTATGGTTTATATGTTTTTGCTTCCAATTTCCTTTTTTGTTTTTATTTTGATCCCTTGTATGTTCAGCGGATTTCTTAGATTGACAGCTTTTGAAGAGTAAAAAACCCATTAAGTTGATTGGAAGTTCTAGGCACATAGGAAGGGCTTGTAGACTGTTTCACTAAAAAGGGATATCTGGCTCAAATATCCTTTTAGGGGAAATTTCCAACATCAATAATGTTTTAGGCTGATCTGTTCCCTAGAGGGAGTCCAATAAGCTTCCAGGAGGATAAAGGTCTGGGAGCCCAGTGGGAGAAGGTGGAGTGAGAGAAATGGGTCTCAGCATTGAGTCACTCAATCCTGTTTTGTTGCTTGTTTTTAAAGATTTTATTTATTTGAGAGAGACAGAGATAGCTAGAGAGTGCATGAGCAGAGAAGAGAGGGAGAAGAGGCTCTCCGCTGAGCAAGGAGCCCATTGGGGAACTAAATCCCAGGACCCTGGAATTACGACCTGAGCCGAAGGCAGCCACTTAACTGAGCCACCCAGGCGCCCCTCAATCCTTTTAATAAAACTTCCGTCCCTCAATTCTGCCTGTGTCCTCCCCACTCCAAAGATCCTCTTACTATATCTGGAGGACAGACTGCCAGTCTTTCACTTGGAAGAGGATAAGGTATTCCTTTACCATTTCTTTCTTTTTTTTTTTTTTTTTAAGTTTCTTCCCAACAGTAAGATTGCTCTTTGCAGTTATTTTGGTATTGGGGGTGACTTTATAATCAAATCTCTATACCAAGGAGATGAGGTATGGTAGACAGAATAATGTGCACCCTCCTCCCCCACAAAAAACCGTTATGAGTATTACCTTACATGGCAAAAGGCCTTGCAGGTGTGATTAAGTATCTTCAGCTGGAGAAAGTGGCCTGTATTATCCAGGTGGACCCAACGTCATCAAAAGGAGCCTTCTAAAAGGGAAGCGGAAGTAGGAATGCTAAGGGGCCACAGGCCAATGAATGCAAGCAGCTTCCAGCTGAAAGAAGTAAGGATTCTCCCCTACAGCCTCCAGGAGAAATGCAGCCCTGCAGACCCGTTTGAATGTCTGATCTCCAGAACTGTAAGCTACTAAAATTTATACTGTTTTGGGCATCAAGTTTGTGGCGATGTGTTGCAGCAGCATTAGGAAGCACACACGTGGTGAACCAATGAGCTAAGACAAACTCTCTCCAAACGTTGGGATTCTTATGCCGCTAGTAGTTTCTAGGTGTTCTCAACCCCAGCTACATATTAGAATCACCCTAGAGTTTTAAAAGCATACTGGTGGCCTGTTGGGGCGCCTGGGTGGCTCAGTCGGTTAAACGTCTGTCTGCCTTCCGCTCAGGTCATGATCCCCGGGTTCTGGGATCGAGCCCCACATCTGGCTCCCTGCTCGGTGGGAAGCCTGCTTCTCCCTCTCTTGCTCCCCCTGCTTGTGTTCTCTCTCTAGCTGTCACCCCCTATCAAATAAATAAATAAAATCTTTAAAAAAAAAAAAGAAAAGCATACTGGTGGCCTGTAGATTAATGTCAGAATTTCTGGTAGTGGAGGCAGATAACCAGCATTTTTGGCAAGCTTCTCAGGTAATGGTAATATGCAGCCAGATCTAAAATCCAATGTATACTAAGTGTAAGGATAGCATTTACCTAACCTGATGGTTTTACCTCAAAGTGTGGTTCCTGGACCATCAGCATCACCTAGGAATTTACTGGAAATGCAATTTTTTCAGTCCCACCCCAGACTTACTGAATCAGACACTCTGGATTCAGATGGGACTAGCAGTCTATTTTAACAGTCCCCTCCCCCCACAGAGAAAATCCAATAAACACTGAAGTCTGAAAATCAGCAATCTAACCAAAGAACCTCCTTATTGCTCTTAATCCTCTATGACACTTGTGTTATACAGGGATTTTACAAGCTAATATTGTAGTAAAGAGCCAGAAAACGTTTAATTAAGGTCATTCTCAAATATATTTACTTTCCTACTACACTACATAGAACTTAGTATCTGATGGCTAAGGATGTGAACTCTTACTCCAGACACTGTGATTCTAGGTAAACAGACACATAAAAGCAGATGTAGAAGATACAGCTGACCAAAACACACCCTCCAGAAGCAGGTATTTTTAATAAAATACTCACATTCTCCTTCCTTGGTCTCTTAAGTACAGAGTAATTTGGATGTACATACAAATACACTTAGAAGCAACCAACTTCTCTGAGACTATGTGTAACACGATATGTGGTAGAAAGCAGTTTAGGTTTCCTTTAAACCTAATTACTGCTAGAAACTTTGCATGATTGGTATGTTCTCCTTCTGGAGTCCTTCCTCTGACAGGTCATGGCCGCCAGGGTAAAACCTCAGGCCAGGTGAGGAATGCGGTTATAAACAGCCATGTTTCAGGTTCATTTATCTGGATTTACTTCAGACTTCGCTTAAATGATCCTAGATTTGTTTAAAGCCCCAGAAAATAAAATGAAACAACAGTTTAATGAGATAACGGAATTTTATTTACATCCATTTCCATTTAATATATCACATCTTCAGGATAGGTGGCAACCTATTTGAAAGCTATGCTCATTGCCTTCAGGCTGTGGGTAGAAGCTTCTCCCAGAGCAGCAGTAACTATTGGTCTGAAAGCTTTCAAGTAGGGGAAGAATTGTGGAGATTCTCAGACTTTACTTTCCCCAAAACACCATCTACCAATAAATGCTTATCTTCTAGCTATACACAGACTCAATCAGTTTTCCAAACACTCTAGCCATGGCAATGTGTTCTTTGGGAAATCTAAACTGGGACAGGATTGCTCAACTCATTCATTAACTTCTCCTGTCATTAATATGTACACCCTGACTGCCAAAAATAGTAACTTAAGTTTCTTACAGAATACACTACAGGGAAAAGCCAGAAAGACAAAGAAAAATTGCATTCACAATATATTTTCTTACTGTAGTAGTTTTTATGCTGGTATCAGCCTGTAAGAAGTTATGAGCAAGAGTAACGTTTGTATTTCCCCAACTTGCATGATAAATGTTTTGTATACTGAAAGTTACATATTCTGTATGATAGAAGTTGCTGATTTTCATTCTTCTGCCACCAAGAGAAGTGTAATTTCCTAAGGGAAAGGGATTTGAATACTCCTGGAGGTTTTTGGCTTTTTTTAAATCTAAGGCTTGATTTTTCTCCCAATAACCATTAGTTTCTTGTTTTTCTAAAAGTTTTTCTTTTCTTAAAGGTAAGTTTAATAAAATGCCTTATGATTACCATGGTTTTGCAAGGAAGAATAAATGCTCTAATCTATATTATCATATTTAGGTGATAGTGTCCCTAATTTTTGATGTCTTTGATATATTTTACATCAAGAGATTTCATTACGGTCTTACCTGTTATCCAAAAGAGAACTAATCCTCTCTTTTTGCCTTAAAGGGTATTTTACAGGCTGGATATTTAAACTTGTTCATGTTGTTACACTCAGTTTTATTTTAGTCAGTGTACTCTAATTCAGAAGGATCCTAGCAATATTGTTGGTGTGAAGCTCGGGTTTTCTCATCCAGACAAGTCGTCCAGGTTCCTATAAGCTGGCTGATCAAGCTGGAAATCTTAGTTTTAACTTTTTGTTCTATACTTAAACTACATAGTTATCTGCAGTTTATCAAAACGAAGTGTAAAGATGAAAGCATTCAAATGGACCACAAATGATTCGGACTTGTAAACTGGGGAGGCCTCTAGCGCTGGACCTTAAAGGCCAGAGAAAGAAGGTGAAGGCAGTCTGACTTCACTGCTAACTGGACAACAGGCTCTATCATCCTTCATTTTCCCAGAATTGCTCTCAGAGCCTGGTGTCATTAGCACGTAACTGCTCATGATACAAAGAACATACATGTAATCAAAGGTGGGCAAGTCTAGGGATTCTTTAAACTGGTTTTAAAAAAGACTAGGTAAAAAAACAAGACAAAACCAACACGTTACTCAGCTCTGAAGGAGAAACCAGGGATGGTTTCCATTATAGCGTCTTAAAAACAGACAAATCTAAAGCCCATAAACAAATTTTTTGAAAGGCCACAAGACACTATTACTAGTTCTACAGGGAGTTGGGAGCTGTGTATTCTGGTGTATGGGTACCTTTCCCCCATTTATCACTAAAGTGACTGCTAAACACAGCTCTTCTGATATTCAGCTGCTGCAGTGTTCGAACAACCCGGCCAGCCCCCAGTCAATTTCACTGATCACTTAACTATTCATTGGAAATATCGGTCATTTGCCTTAATTTTCTGAAGACTTACTTATCAGATCACACCAGCACACCGGAGCCTTTAGCTTGTGGCAGGTGCTCCCCATGAGCATTATACCTGTCACAATCAGACAGTACCGTTTCCCTACATATATGTATGCACAAATACATTAAAAACATTTAATACAAAATTGTACATTACATGAAGTAGAACCTTAAAGATTATCCTAAAATGGAAGTACAGAGAAAATGCATGCAGAGAGGGCCTGTTGAAGCACAAAGCCAATGGAATATATAATTTCAAGTCTGTATTTCCTGCAGAATGGTAACCTATCTTTTTCTACCCAGAGGCAAAATATATTTTCCAAAAATGTGGACACTGCCCATTGCATTAAATTTAAGTGCTCCCTATCTATGTAGACAAAAGCAAAAAAAAAAAAAAAACAACACATTCCTTTTTTTAATATATCAAAAATGTTTCCAAGGCAACATTATTAAAATGATTATACCACAGTCCCTAATGTAACACCAAGCGCTAACAGGAAGATACAGCGAGGGCAGAAACGTTTCATCCAGTCAGTGGTTTAGGTGCTCTTCTTTTCTTCACCTAGTAAATTCACCGCTGCCTTCTTGGCTGAGGAGGAAAGAAAATTGTGTCAAGGCAACTTGCAGTACAGGCTCTGTGCCAACTGTAGTGACTAGTTGGCCACTTGTGTGACTCCTACACAGACAACAGCACACTGAGGTTTGCGGCCGGGCTAGGAGTTTCCAGGAGATGGACGCGAGACCTCTTCAGAGCACAGACCCTGAGTACTCCAGCAAAGTTCTTCAGGGTCCTCTGGCCCAGCCCCCTCATGGTAGCAGTGTCATCTAAGCCATCTGCCCCCCTTGCAGGAGCACAAGAAGCAAAGATTCCTGATGCGTCAGGCCTTCCCCTGTACAACCACAAAATTCTCATTGGCGTCTGGATGCTCACCTGTATACTGGACTATGTCCCACTTGGACGACAACTAGGTCGTCTATCCCATGGTGACAAAAAAATCAGAGAAAGTCCTCCCTCCCACAACCCAGAAATTAGAGAATATTTATACACATTTATATTCTCTTCACTGTGCCACCATTTCCCCCTATGATGGGAAGAGTTTGCTGTAAGTGTTTGAGTTGGTGGCAAGATGCCACATTCATCAAGAAAATATTCTTATATCTGTGGGAGACTAAACTCTCTTCCTAATTACCATGTGACTTGGAACAAGCTAAGAATTAGTGTTGTGTGTGTGATGGGAGCGGGGGGTTCTGGAAGCCTCCAGAGCCTCCTGGGAGGATCTACAAATCTGCCTTTGACGGCGCCTGGAGTTCAGCGATGCCAGTCGCGCCCTGTTCACCAGCAGCCTGAGGGCTGTTCTCACTTCCTTAATTAAAGTCGCTGAACAGAGTTAACAAGAAATTGCAGCCTTTCTCTTAAGTAGCCCATTGTAAAAATTTACTAACTTGAGAATCCAGAAGTTGTGAGAAAAGTCTGGAATGTGTCAGCATGTTAAGTCCATCCTAATTTATTTTCATTCTTACACTCCTGTTTAGGAATGGATCCTATCAAAGTAAAATTGGATTTTAGAGTATTGAGTTCTAAGAGGACCAAGGGACTAAGAAATATGAGTTGAACTAGACAGAAGTGATGTCACAGGAGGCTGCCAGTTAGGCTGAGGGGAGGAATAGAAAGGAAATCTCTTAAAAAGAAACTGGCAATCCCCACATGGGACGACATGAAGGCTACAGGTCAAAAAACACTTAAAATTGTAGGAAAATGAATGCAAGTAGACTGGAGCGGTGGGCCCAGGAAGTCTGGCAGAGAGCGAGGCGTGTGAGGGGGAAGAGCAAGAACATATACGTGCTGCTGGAAAGCTGTCCTGGGGAACTCACTTGCCCTGGAGTCAAGCCAATTCTCAACCTCCACTTTCTAATTACTATAGAGCTCTCAAAACAAAACAGTAATTCTATGTCTCTTGCCACTTTTCTCCAACTTCTAAAACCCTTCCTGTGCCCTCTGGAATTTAAGACCCAATGAAGCATCAGCAAAACCTCCTCTATCTCCATCCAACTGTCCGAATGTTTCTTTTGCGTTCTTGCTTTTACAGAAATCTGGCTGTCCCCTGAGACACTGCTTTTCTCAAGTGAGGGCTGGTTTGTTGTTTTGTTTTGAGTGCAATTTAATGAACATATAGTGTATTGTTAGTTTCAGAGGGAGAATTTAGAGATTCCTCAGTTGCCTACAACACCTGGTGCTCATTCCATCACGTGCCCTCCTTAATGCCCATCACCCAGTTACCCCACCCGCGGTGGTGACTGGTTTTTTTCTTCCTTCCTTGACCCTACTACAAGTGGTTCTGGAGGGTTGGGTAGGCAGTCTCGGTTCTTCACCGCCATGTCCAGAATCTCATGTCATCAGATTGTATCTCCCACCAGGCTTTCTCTTCCCAATCCCCTCTGACTCTTGGGCTATGCTGCCTCATTTCTTTAAGATTTTAGCTCTAAAATTAGTATCACTTTCATATTCTTCCAATACCGTGGCCTCCCAGCTACCCCCTCCAATAACCTTTCATTCCATCCTACGGACCCCAGCCTCTCTACCTACCCCGGCACTCACTCCATGATCCTCATCACTTCCGGTGACCGCAGTCCCTCTGCAGTCTCAGTGTCAAGCATGCCACTGGCCCCCACCACCTCCGCCCTTCGAGGCTCACACCCTCTGCTATCCGGATCCAGAGTTCTCCCCACCACCTGCTTTTATAACCCATTGGTCTTACCCCCTCTTCTCCACTGTTCCGCACTCCCTTTGTGTCCTCCCGTCCCTCCTCGGCCAGTTTAAGTGCAACTGTCAGACACTAACCACTCCCTGGTCCCACTCGCACTTCACAGTTCCTGACGCGGCCCTCCACTGAGTTCTGCAGCCAAATGTGGCTGAAGGAACACCTCGGCAAGCCAGCCTCACTGTAAATTCCTGAACACAAAACTCCAGTGAGCCGCTAATCCTCCTGGCAGCCCCGTGACACTGCCCTGGTCTGCCCACTCTCCCACGGCCTGGGCCGTCCCACTCATGCTCATGCGGTCCTTGTCGCCGGCAGCTGTCACACTCTTGTGGCAGAGGGGAGCAGCTGCAAGACAGAGCTAAGGACCCACAGAAACGAACTGTTGTTACCTGACCCCGTCCGAGGCAATGATTTCATATCGTCTCTTCCTGTCCCTTCCTCTCTCCGCTGAACTTTCCTGCTCCTTTCCTGAGAAAGGTGGAGCAGTCAGGGGGTGACTTCTGTAAGCTCCACCATCACATAAACTCCCCTGCCAGCATCTCTACTCCAGTTAGAAACCGATGTGCCCCTGGGAACGCCAAGTGCCTCGGCCACTCTGGAGAGCAGGAAGGAGGTTTCTCAAAAAGTTAGCAATAGAGCGAGCCAGCAAGTGCACTAGTAGGTGTTTACCCAAAGGATACAAAAACACAGATTTGAAGGGGCATGTGCACCCCAATGTTTACAGCAGCACTGTCAAGGATAGCCAAAGTATGGAGAGAGCTCAAATGTCCATCAAGAGATGAATAAACAAAGAAGATGGGTGTGTGTGTGTCTATATATATCTAAGTGAAATAAATCAGAGAAAGACAAGCACCATATGATCTCACTCACATGGAATTGAAGAAGGAAAACAGATGAACATATGGGAAGGGGGAAAAGAAAAAAAGGAGGGAGGGAAACAAACCATAAAAGACTCTTAACGACAGAGAACAAACAAAGGGTTCCGGGAAGGGGGGGGGGGGGGGGGGTAGGTGGGCGATGGTTATTCAGGAGGGCGCTTGTGATGAGCCCTGGGTATTGTATGTAAGTGAGGAATTCTACCCCAGAAACCAACACTGCACTGTATGTTAACTATGCAAAATTTGAATAAAATAAATCATAAACTGTTGTGCCCCTGTAACCAATCCTGTTTGGAACCTAGATCCTAGTTCCTCTGGGCTAACTAAGGTCGGAGCTCCAATAGTTTTCCCCTCACTTGTATCAGTTTTTTTGCTCTCTAATGGATCATTCCCACTAATCTTCAAACATATGTTGTTCCTGCTACTTTAAGAAGAAAAATACACCCTCAGGACCCTAGTTCCTCCTCCCACCTGGCAGTCCCATGCTTCTCCTTTTTCAGGAAATTTCCCAAAAGACTCGCCTATCTTTTTTTTTTTTTTTTTAAAAGATTTATTTATTTATTTATTTGACAGAGAGAGATCACAAGTAGATGGAGAGGCAGGCAGAGAGAGAGAG